AATGATAAAAATCCATGACATGCTTTTTATCTGAGCCTTATCAAACGATGTCACAACCCTAAGCACAATAATTCAGTTTATATTTTTGTAACCATGTCCTATGAGTAAATTAATTAATCCGCTGAACGGTGACTATCAACTTTGAGGTGAAGAAGAAGAAGAGGGGTTGGCGGTCTGGTATTTTGACCCAAGCCTTTATTATTTCTCTGTGTATTGCTCTCTCTCTCTCTCTCTCTCTCTCTCTCTCTCTCTCTCTCTCTCTCTCTCTCTCTCTCTCTCTCCCGCCCCAAACCATACCCAAACAAGGGGATCCGTCGTCTTGAGTCATGGTGTCCGCTTCGAGTGCTGCAGGTTCCGGGTTCAAACCCCGATGAAGGCTGGGATTTTTTCACGTGGACCACTAGTAATTTCCCTGATTTCTGGGTCAGACGCCCGTGTGTTTTGTTGCGCACGTAAAACAATCTCTTGGCAGCAAACAGGACCGTGTCGTAATATGGTGCAGAGACGCAGGTACATTAGGCGGCACCCTGAGGGGGCGGCATAAGCAGCGAAATCAAAATAGAAATATTTTAAAGAAAAGCATTTTAGAGGCGGCCCTGCGAAGTCCTAAGTCTAACTGAGAATAATCTACTGTACGGCTCTGCACACACACAGTCACAGTTCAGAGGTCTTGATATCCTTCCTGGATGAGTTGCGGGGCTCCATTCTGGGGAGTGGGCAATAAGGCGTTATACCCTAATAAGTATTGCCATTAAAAAAAGTCAACTAATTAGTGGTGTCTCCCTCAAAGTGCATTTGAATGAGAGGCAAGGAAACAGCAGCCTGAATGTAGAACGGATGTGCAGGCAGAGCTCATATTCAAGACTAGCTTCCAGAAGTGGACGAACAACCAAAAGCTTCCGCCAGAGGTTACAGCCAACAAACGCTTAGAAGTAATCTCGATGTCGGCCTTTTGAAGTCATCCCTGTGTTTTTTCACAATAAGGTTAGGTTAGTTACGAATCTTTTACAGGACGTTGCAGAACCAACCCCAAACAGTCCGTGGCTGTTGTGTGATTGTTCTAAGCAAATTTACGTCCGGTAGTTTGCCATATTACAATGAGGCTGACAGAACAAAAGCAGTGTAACGCTCAACACCCAAAAGAAAGGGGAGACAAATATACAGCAAGTTACTGGTGCTATAGGAATTGCAACTCTTCTCTTGCTGCTGAAGATGGGGACGAAGAGCTTATCACTTATGGGGGTGTCCTGAGTTCTATGATGTCAATTCTTAACATACAATATTCAAGCAGTTAGTTAGTTAGTTGGGTTATCATCATTGCACTCCGGTCCATAGGTGCTCAGATCCTCCCCTCAGTTTTAACCTCAACGTCCGAGGGCTAATAGTACCAATTCTATGTTGATTAACAAGTCCTCTGGTGTGCGTCTTGTTTTTTGCTATGCCGATCCTAATTCCCAAGTCTGCCGTTCTGGCGAGTGATGTGTATTCACTGCCCCCAAAGTCCTCTATCCTTCCCATTTCTCTGAGGGCATTAATAATATCATCATGATCCATCGGCTGACCGTCGGTAGTGATAGTGGATCCAGTCAACCTATCAGCTCTTTCATTTCCATCGACGCCTGCATTATTTTGGAAGAAACATAAAAGTGACTCCACGTACAGAGGACTTCTGTAATGATTCAAGCCATTGTCTTCGCACCGAACCTGCCTGAACCCTACGGATCATACTCATTGAATCACAGACTGAGTATGCATACGGGGTTGTAGTTTTGTGTTTCGAGCCAGGCGAACGCTTGCGTTACTGCCATCACCTCCATCGTCATGCTGCTGGTTGTCATAGATAAGGCTTCGTTGGCTTCTTTGACTGTTCCGTCTGTGTAAATTAGTGCATCTGCTTCGTCTGAATTTTCACTAAGGAGAACGTTGACTTCTGCATTAACTCTAACAGGATTCTCTTCTCTACATCGCCTGTTGAGTGTGGCAATACAGGAAAATGTACAAATAAACGCATGAGGCACAGGTATCCGTCGTATACCGCTTGTGTCAAGTGCCTGAATAGGGATTTCTCCTTATGAACCAACAGCACTCTGAAATAGTATAAATGTTGGGATGTCGGCTCGTATTGGTCTAGGTGATATCCCGCTGCCAGTATACACCCAACCTATTTCAGGAGTAGGGCAACACAAGTTATAGCACAACAGAATATATATATATTCCTCGGCGCAACTTGGCCGGACGTCCCCACTTCTACAAGAAAATAGCACCCATACTATGATAGTGTACAGTCATGTTAACACAGATTAGGATTCCTATTCATAAATACATGTACTCCAGATAGCTAAGACTAGTAAATGATATACACTCAAGTCAATAATGAAAAATTCCAACGACATGTAATAAATTCAACATATACATCATATAAGAGTCAAGCAAAGAAATTCAAGAACAACCAGAATGATGAGAGACTAAAAACACAGTATGACCAGTACTCTTAGAGATTCCCAGAGGAAGCCTTACTTCATCACAGTAAACATGTGGACAATTAATAAACACGCATGGCATTGACCAATCGACTTATCTATTTACACTTCTGGTTCACTGCACTCCTCTGGTTCATGATTACTTGGACTGGCTGACACTTTCGGGAATGTTCACTCAGACGGTTGATCTGGTAAAGACAGTCAAACTCAGTTCTCAATCACTGGAGTACAAACAAGCTCCTTGAAAGGGTACTCTGGCACTAAGTCTGTTACTGGTAGCCCTGAACAACTGCTGGACAAAAGGATGGTGAAGGTGCATCCCCCATGATAATGTCTGTTGACAAGCTATAGGATTACTATCTGGTGGATGACAAATTGGTGGCTTGCAAGCTGATGCCTACAAATTGAAGTACAACCTTGCTCACAAGCTGGCTTACAAGTTGATGGCTTTCATGTTGGTGGTTCTGTGGACTGCTGACTGGCTGCCTGGCTTCCAAGGAGATATCATCCTGTGACAAGAAGAAACTCAGAATTTGCAGTCATCTCACAGTTCACATGCCTAGCTCATTTTATTATTATCCGCACTTTGTGGACAGCTCAGATGACAGCTGTCAGGATAATGAGACAGTAGTAGCCTCCATGAATCTCTGTCAGTCAGTCAGAAAAAGAGACATGAGACAAGGTCCACAGTGGAGACAGACAGACTCTATCAGACAGAGAACATCATCTCTCTACATCCACATCTGCACTTGTAGTCACACAGACCACCACTCACCCTCACATATATATATTATTTTTCACAGACTGACCCTAGCCTTCCCTGTGTTGTGTCTGAGTTTCCTATAAATACTCATGACGTCACTGTGTGTGTCTCTCGCCGTGCGAAGAAGCTGTGTGCTGACCCAATTAAATCTGCCGGCTTCAATGTCGCCATCCAAATTCCCAACTTGCTAGTTATGGAACGATTAGTAAGCTAGATTAAAACATTTATACTAATATTGGGTTAGGTAGGGCACATACTCTCAGCTTGAAAAGGGGAAGGGTTGATTTAGGTGGCCGGGAGTATTTTGACACCAAAAACAGTCTCACTGTAATGTCTTTTATAGCCGAATCATTCCTCTCCTCAGCAGCGGGTTAAATATATAGATATAGATATATGGTACACGTAAACTATAATAAACTTACCCAAGCTCAAGACTCCTCCAAGTAATAAACTGGTACTTTGTTCTAGACAGAATTAAGCACAAAGGCAAAACACTTCTGTTCTACTTGGAAGCCCCACTGAGAATGGGGGTGGGGGGGGGGGAGATGGGGGGGGGGGAACTTGGCGTCACTTTCAAAGAAAGTAGTTCGCCAGATTAATACGCCGAGGAGTGAATCGTCTAAAGAATAATAATCCAGAGAATCTCTACAACTGTGAGTTTGACGGGTCGAGGCAGGCTGGTTACGCAGACGGTGGTTAAAAATTCTCCTGTGTCCGCAGTTACTTTCATATATTGTCCCAGGGTATTCAGGCGTTGTTGGTAATGAGAGAGCTGATAGACTGGCATGTGCTGCATTAATTGAAGATGGTCGGTCCATGGATCACGCAGACATTGGCAATGTCGCTAAGAATACGCGAATTGGGAGTAAAGATCGGCTCGCCAAGCATGAGAAGCACACTGGACGCACACCAAGTCTTGTTAACCAACATAGGACTGCTACTATTAACCGCACAACGCTGATGACTATGTTGAGAGGGGAATCTGAGCGCCTAAGATAATCTAACTCATGACTCATAAGTGACAGTGAGGATTGCCAGAGCGTATTCAATGGGGGGAAGGACGAGACAGTAGAATAGAAGAATTAGTAGTCTTTGCTCGATATAGAAAACAGCAATAATCCTCGTTGCAGATAGACCTTTGCGTGCTTTTGTTCTTACATGGTCAACATGTTCCTTGAATGACAAGCTGCGATCAAACCTCACCCCGAGAAACTTTATAACGTTAGTTCTGATCAACACATTATCACGCATTTTCACTTCTGGTAAGTCATACTTGACAATGTGATTGTTCAAAGAGAACCATGACACTGATGCCTTCGAAAGAATGACATAGGTACTGGAGCCGTCACACCAGGCTGCAATTTGAGCAGCGTAACCCAGTAGTAAAAAAGATCTGAATATCAAGGAAGACTGGTTAATAAACAGCATCCTTTCTCGAAAGCTGAAATATTTTGGTCATATGATTGGACTGGAAAAAAATATAGCAGATGGATGGCATGGTACCAGGAAAGAGGAGCAGGGGCCGACCGACACGAAGATGGGCACAGGATATAAGTGACTCTTTATGTGTGAAAGTGCATGAGGCGGGAGAACTGGATAGAGACCGAGTTTCTTTCAGGCAGACTGTAATGAGAGCAACGTTCTGCAGAAGACCTGCTACATGATGATAATGATGAACTCGGTAGTAAACACCAGTTCAGACGCATGCGCAGTTACACACATCCGCCTGTACGTGGCCGAGAGAAACAACTTTCGCTATGGATCTCCAATTTTTATTTCATTTACCAGCGGTTTTATTGTTGCTGGCGTCCGTCTCCACTTCTTACGGGTACTTTATCAGCATTGATGCGCATTCTGAAGAATGTTTCTTCGAGAAAGTCACATCAGGAACGAAAATGAGTTTAATGTTTGAAGTAGCGGAAGGCGGATTTCTGGATGTGGATGTCAAAGTATGCCAAATGACGTTTGACTGTATTTGTTGTTTTAAATAAAAATGTATATCTGTATAAAATAATATATTGCTGTTGCTATTTTAAATATAATTGAGGATGAGTGAGTATGAGCTCCAGTGTTTTTCCTTTAGCGGTGTGGCATTATCAACGCATGATCATATCATAACTAAAACTATATACATGTATTATCAATATAATAATAATAATATATGATCATTATTCATTATAATAAATCAAATGGAGATTTTCAACTCCCGGTACCCCCCCCCCCACCCCACCTTAATCATCATCTTAATTAGGCTATCCTTCGAATAACGGGCATGGCACATATTATGGCGGCCAAAAACACACCCTAATAGGGCCTCAGTCACATATAAATTGCGCACTTCCGGCGACTTAAATTGTGTACTTCATGCGACTTACTCCACCGCCGAGAGTATCTCGAACGCCGCTCGTGATGCGGGGCTAAACTAGATGACTGGGACTCACGACCAAATATAATGAAGGAAGCTGCAGGAGATGTGGTAGCTGCTGTTCGTGAGTCCCAGCCATCTAGTTCAGACCCGCTCCACGCAGCATAGAAGATACTCTTGGCGGTGGCAGAAGTCCATAATTTAAGTCGCAGAAAGTCTGCAATTTACATGTGACTGAAGCCTTGTTAGGGTGTGTTTTTAGCCGCCATAATATGTGCCCGTTATTCAGAGGATAGCCTCATAATCATCCTATCTTCTGCATTTTGCTGCTTTTGCTGGGAGAGACATGGTGGTACTTAATACTTGTAAACTAAACACAGGTATACTTAACTATCTTCCGAATAACGCTCCCAAATTATCAAGGCTGAAAATATACCCTAACAAGGCCTCAGTCAGATATAAATTGCGACTACCACCGTCCCTGAGAGTATCTCCCACACTGCTACGCGCAACGTTAAGCGGCGCTAAACTAGATGGCTGGGACTTCCGAGTAGCAGCTCCTGCAGCTTCCTTAATTTTATTTGCTTGTGAGTCCCAGCCATCTAGTTACGCCCCACTCCACGCAGCGCGTAGCGGCGTGGGAGATAATCTCGGCGGTGGAGGAAGTCCGCAGTTTACATATTATTGAGGCCCTGTTAGGGTATATTTTCGACCTTGATAATTTGGGACCATTGTTCGGAAGATAGCCGAATACTTCATCTTCTTCATGTTCTTCTTCTGCCTTCTGTCCCCCAATGGAACATGTGCCATCAACTAACTCACACCAAGTTATTCTATTTTTCGCTGCATGCAGCTCACACCATGACCTCCCCTCTTTTATTCTTTGAAACTTCACTTTTAAACTTTATCCTTTAGTTTCCTTCTCCAGGTTTTTTTGTTTGTTCTGCCTTTATTTCTATGCCTTTATGGGTTCCAGTGCAAAAACATTCTATTTATTTTGTTCTCAGGTCTTTTCAGCATGTGTTTTATCCAACAGCAGCATCTTTTCTTTACCTCACTAGACATTACTTTAGCTAACTGTCGCAGGGAATGTAATACATTTTTTGTCTAAGTTCACATAATAATAACATTCTTTCATTTTAAATATTCTTTGAGATTAGGGTTACCCTTAAAGTAGGGGCTAACCCTAACCCAAACAGTAGCCTGATGCAATATTATATATTACAGAACAATATTATGTGAACGTACACTATAATGGATTGTCATCTCTATCTTCGGCATAAACAAATGGTAAATTGCATCCCTCTAGGGTCGTTGTTTGAAGGAGTGCCGGAACATGTTTTCTTCTCTCCCAAAGTGCCCTTGCTTTTCTGCATGGCACATGATGATGGCGAGGTAACCATACCAGATAAATAACATTGCTGGAGGGTTTTTATCTTTAAAAAAAAGGTTACAGTTTTTACCATACTTTCCACAAAGTACCTGGCAAGGTGCTGGAGCTTTATCGGCCATGCGCTCAGAATGGATAAGACAAGACTCCCCCATCAAATCATCGCTTCTCTGCCTCTTTGGCTAAGATCAAAGTGTAGTAACATCACCCTTCAAAGCCCTCATATCGACTACGAAAGGGAAATGGGAAAGACCAAGAGAGACTCAGCATAGAACACTCACCTCAAAAGGCTCAACCATGGGCCTGATAAAAGTCTAAGACCTGCAACAAGTAGCAACAAAAACTGGGGGAAAAAATGCTAAAAAAATTGTGCTATTACTGCATATCATTGCATACAGTCAGAAAAAGGCCCTATATTTGCTGTAAAGAACACCCTTGATCCCTTGTCTCACCGTTGTCCAATATGTATTGTTGTATTTCACGCACAGATTTATGGGCCAGATGGTAACATAATACATTCTGGGGACAGAGAATCTAATGGCAAATACACATTTGCTGCCCATATGGATGGCAACTATAAGTATTGCTTCAGCAACGCCATGTCAACGATGACCCCAAAAGTTGTGGTGTTTTCCATCGATATTGGTGAAAAGCCCAAAGAGGCCGCTGGTGCGGAAACTGATGGTACGTCTTGCAGTAACTTTAAAAAAAATTTAAATTAGAATTCATGTTTTAATAATGAATTTGTTGCAACAAATGAATTATCATCCTATGCTATTTTTTCCCCACAGTGGGTCCTACAACCTCCTGGGATGGGTTTGGAAGAGGGGGAATATGGCTAGAACTGTCCAGGGCGTTTTAGCAATCTTTAATGCAGTTGGGAAACACTGAATAAAAACAAGACAGCTGTAGAGAGAAAACAAATTGAGCAAGAAAACATTCGGAAAAACCATTTGTACCTTTCTAAGTGTAGTTAAACAGATACTGAATGAAGACCACTTATACTTGTCGGCATGGCACATGATGATGATGATAATACTTCCGGGGAGAGGTTTTCACTGGGTTTTTTTTTTTTTTTGACTGTTAGGCAAGAAAAAAAACAGTTTGGTAAGCACTTGAAGAAAACACCTATATGGCTTTTAAAAAATGTCTTAGGAAAATCTTGCAAAATATTTTTTGCCGAACAAGATCACAGAGAAAGAACTGAGGCAGAAAACAAAATGTTCAACACTGGCGAACATTATCAGAGGAAGAAGATGGAAATGGCTTGGACATGTTTGTAAATGCCTCGTGACAGTTTAGCAAAGACTGCTTTCCAGTGGGAAAAGGAGATTGGGATAACCTAAGAAAACCTTAAGGAGGACAGTAGAGAATGAAATAAAGGAATGTAAGATGTCACAGGGTCATGGCAGAAAAAAAAAACTGCAGAACAGTAGCAATGGGAATGCCCTGTGAGACAGGGGGGAGGATATAGGTATGGATAGATACCAAGAGTTAGGAGTTGCAGTTGCACAGTTGCTAGATTTCGGCCTGAAGGTCTTGGGTTCATATCCACAGGTAAGTTGAAAAAATTGACCTTAGCTCCTAGGTTGACCTAGTCAAAAACGAGTTGCTTACTTACTTAGTCACTGCTCTTCTACCTTGGGGTTCAGAGGTTTGCCAGACTTCTCTATCAGTAGTTTTCTTTCTGACTTTGTTCCATTCCAGTCCTCTGTCGTTCAGGGACTGTCAGATGGTGTCTTGCCAGTGGACCTGGGTTGCACTTGGAGATCTGGTTACCTTGTTCTAAACCTCTCATACCTGCCATGGTGGCCGATTTTTCCCATCCTGCGTATATGGCTAAACCATATTAACTGTGACTGATCCAGTCAAGTTTATAAGGCATGGGTTTCAAGATCTTGACGTATTGTCTGATTATAAACTTTGTACCCTCTTCTCACTTGGGTCACCTTTCTCAGATATCTAATTTCTAAGGCCTGAAGCTGGCTTCTGTGAGCTGTTGACATTGTCCATGACTCACACCCATTGCTTGTCTAAAATGGGTACTTGCAAATATCCTGGGAAGTAAAGGCAGCTGGCATGATGACCACATTACTTATTGAATGCCATTTGATCTAAGTTACTATGAGCCTGATTGTCAGTCAACAGCTCCTTTACAAAATGTCCCTCTCATCACGGCCTGCCTACAAGTCTCATTTTTTTTTAAAGCCAGTTTCCAGGGTTCTGTGTGTGTTCCTAGTCTATGCATCTTCAGTGTATTGTATCCATGTAAGCAGTGGTATGCCTCTGCCTCATTTGTTTAAACTGCAGCCTCGATCATCGTTCTCTTCAGGCCACCATAATGTTTAGCATGGCCAGAATATCTCAGCTTCTGGGGCAGGGCGAGCCTAGCATTATATGTCGAACACAGGGTGTTATAAACAAAAATGTCAGGTTGTGTTTGGCAATGTGATCAGACCATTTAACTCATACTCTGAAGGTTTTGGTTTGTTTGGACTGTGCCATGCTTTTCATGAATTATTTTTGTTTTTGACAATTCTTAGTGTTGAAAATTCCTAGTGTTGCCTCAGAGGCTGCAGTTTGTGTTCTTGAAGTGAGGCACTGAGAATTTTCTTCTTGACTTAGACCTATGTGAATTAAAACCATCCATATACCAGGCAGTATTCTTTGTGTGTAAACAAGAAGTATACCAAGTTAGATTTGTTAGACAGCATCCTATACCAGGTACCACTGTATAGTCAGTCTGTTTTCCATATGTGGAGGTACAGAGACAAGTTACCTTTTGTTGTTGTTTCTTTTGCCTGGTCTCATTTTTTTTCTACAAGCATTTAATGAACCCTATCAGTTTGCTGGATCGGTCACAGTATTTTCAGACTCCCTAGAGTGGTCACACATGAACTAAACTTTCCCGTTCAGATAGTATAACACTTTCCACTCTACGATGTCTGAATTGACTCCAGTTAGATCCTCATCATCATCAACATGTGCCCTGCCATCTGGTGTAGACCCTCATGCGTCTCCACAGATCACAATCCCTGGTTGTCTGGAACAGCTCTCTTGATGATATCCCTCCATGCCATCGTTTCAGCCCATCCAGCATCATTGGTCTGCCTCTACCCCTTTTTCTACTGATCTTTTCAGTTGTCACGATGTTCTCCAATGTCTCTCTTCTCATTATGTGGCGAAAAAACAGTATTTGTCTCTTGTTTGTTGCATATAGAGATCTGCTTTCAATAGCTTCTTTCAAGCAATCGTTGTTAGTTACTCTGGCCATTCCAGTTAGATGCTGGCCAAATAATAAACATCCTTTTGCCATGCCACCTTGACCGGAAACATAATTTTTGGTTGGGTTATATTCATAATTTTTCTGTTTTTCATTTTCAGCAAACCATAACAAGCTAGCAGAGATGATCAATGAGTTGTCTACAGCACTGACTGGTGTCAAACATGAACAGGAGTATATGGAAGTTCGAGAACGGATCCACAGATCAAGTCAGTATTATTTGATTCTCTGATCCTTATCTGTTGACATATATTTGTATTGGGGTAACCTTTCCTTTGGGTAACCTTTATTTCTACAATACTGTCCCTACTTTGTGCCATGGAGCTGAGTAACCATCGTGGTATCACAGTGAGGTGTGATTCTCATGCTCCTTATAAACACATTCCTTTGCCAAGATAGAACGATGCAAACAGCCGTTTGCTTGCGAGTGGTCTCGAGTAATAAAAAAAACTGGAATCACTGATATATTGACAGAATGATTGTAAACATGAAAGTGATATTCGCTGCACCTCAAAACATCAATACATGTGCACAGTGAAATGAGAGCATATCAGTTAGAAATAACTTTTTATTTGAGGATACCCCTGGCTCATAAAAAGTAAACTGTTTGTATTAGTTATTGTATATTCTATTGTTTAGGTATGAATAAATTATTGGATTGATAAAGGTCCCTTTTCCACGCCTTTAGGCATATAGGGCATGCAGGACTAGACCTATATTTTCATAGACCGATCGGCACAAGATAGGTGATGTGGTCAGCATCACGCCGGCCACCTTTACTTCCCTGGACTGCACCATTGACCCACTCAAGCGTGGTTTGACCTAGTAGTCAGTCATTTTTGAAAAAAATCCGGCTCCACTAGGAAGCGAACCCACGATTTTCCAATCTGCACGCGAGTATCTAGCCCCTATGCCTTGCCGACTCCCTTGGATTGACAAAGATTAACAAAATTTGCCACTTTGAGAAAATGAAGCTCCTGTGCAGTTGTAAATTACTAATTCATAAAGAAGTTCGAGACCACATGCACAAATTCGTATTAATCTGTACAGGAGTTTTTGAGATCATTGTTTGAGGGAACAACTTTCCGATCGCTGTTTAGATCTGAAGTTACTTGAATCAGAATCCGACTGAGTGTGTTCTTCTGTGCTGTAATCATTGATGATTACCTTTCTTCTGTCCACAGTTAATGACAACACAAATTCCAGGGTAGTTCTGTGGTCGTTCTTCGAAGCCCTTGTTCTTGTAGCCATGACCCTAGGCCAGGTATACTACCTGAAGCGGTTCTTTGAAGTCCGAAGGGTTGTCTGAGTGAAAGCTGTCAACGACTAGGGTGTTCCATCATTTGATTAGTACAGAGAAGAAATTGTTACCATTGTTTGTCCTCCACTGATAAGTGCCACTTTTTTATAAGCTTTTATTAAGTTCATTTTTGTTTATTTGACTAGTAGATGAGCTGAATGTAATGTTTATGTTGTTATCGAATTCAGTATACAGCATACGTCATATTGAGTTTGTATTTTTTTTTATACAGCGCATTTTTCTTCAGGTAATGATAGATAATTTCATAGATCACGAAATTCTTCACATAATTATAGGTAATTTAATACATACAAATGCTTTTTCAGATTCTCATAAGTAATTTATGTGTCACATCTTTCTCTTCATTCTCAGAAGTCATTTCATGAGTCACATATTATTCTACAGTCCTCGGAAGTAATTTCATACACCATGCACTTTAAATACTCCTAAGTAATTTAATACATCACATATGTTTCTTTAGATTATCATATGTAGTTTTTTATACCTCACATATTTTTCTTCAGATTATCATTGGTAATTTCATAATTCACCTATGCCTGTCCAGATTCTTTTTGATAATTTCTTAAATCTAATATTGTTGTGCAGTTTCTTATAGGTAATTTCATACACAATATTTAACTCTTCAAATTGTTGTAGGTAATGTCAAACCTCACTAATTTTTCTTTAGGTTTTTGTTGATAATTTCATACACCACCACACTCTTTAGATTTTCATAGGTAATCTGGACTCCACATTAGCTTCTTTACATTCTCATAAGTAATGTCATACATTACATATATATATATTTTTTTAGGTTCTCATTGGCAGTATAATATACCATACCTATTTATGCAGAAAGTCATCTGCATACATTGCACATGTTTCTTCATAAACTCATTATTTACGCTATACATATCATTCATATGCTCATAAAATAGTACATTTCCTATGAATTCGATAGGTTATGTGATAACTTTTGGCCATGCCAATTTGGCAACACAGAAAGTGAGATACTTGAAGGTCGACTCTCTCATGGTGGCTAGAAAAAGCGCTTCAGGTACACACTACAGGCATCATTGAAAGTCTTCAGTGTAATCCCTGACACCAGGGAGTCTGCAGCACAAAACCTGGCTTTATGGCGCACATACAAGTATATCCGAAATGGTGCAACAATCTGCGCGGCAACTAGATCAAGGGCAGCTGACCAGCAAAAAAGAACCGACAAACAAGCCGTTTGTCTATAGACACTGCCCTGTCCTTATTGTCATAGACTCCCCCCCCCCCTTTTCTCCCCTTACAGTAGAGCCCCAGAATCCCCACTGGCAACCTTTTCAATCAGTAGATCTCATTTTGGCTGTAGCTTTATGTTTGTTTTAACATAATGAGTAAGACATGCTTCCCACTCCATGATTGTATCAGATTGTTGTCACCCATGCTCCATTCATCATTCTACCGGAGCATGTGTTCAAGGACATCATTCTGTTTAATCTAGACAGTTTGTGATAGTTGTCTACCTTGTTTCAAAAACAAAACAAAAAAGGAATAAGGGCGTTCTGTACTCTAAAGTACAATGTTTTTTTTTTTTTAAATGCTCATTTTTGTTATGGAGATCAGCGGTTGTTGGAGCTACAAAGTTTGTGGATTGTGTAATGCCTAAGAGAGAGCAGGATGAACCTGATACTCTTGATTTGAAAGCTTTTATCTTGAATAAAATATCTGTTTGTGTTTACAGTCACATTGTGTGGTGTCCATGTCCTCAAAGTGTGGACACGTAGCTAAAATGCATATTTTTATGAAATGAAATGCATTAAGAAAGTTTTATTCAGTTGAAATATTAAATTTTGTCTTCAGTATGGTTTGCATCATTTGCTATGCAAGGGTTGATGGTCTTTGCAAAATTTGTGTGAACTTAGTGTAATAAATCCTCCTCATTGCCATCAATTTTAATACATTCACTCTTTTGTCTCCTGTGTGTCCAGGCTGTATAATCTAAATTTTGGATCTGGGTTGTACTGTTTAGAGCTGGCTGAGGTGTTTTGTAGTCAATCAGTCCGTCAAATAGTCAGATACCATGTACACAAAGATAGTTGGCCGCAGCAGTTTTGCCAGAATATAGAATGCATCATCATCATTTTCCTTTTTTCTTGCTGTGAAGCGTCGCGGGGGAGGAATAGTTTACAGTCTATTGCTAGTTGGGTAACAATGGCTATTGCTTTAATGCATGATTGTCTGAAAAACAATTTGAAAACAATACTGAAAGTTTTTGTTTTAAAAACAGATTGGTTTATTATTAAGTCACGGCAGTTACCTTCAGCATTTGATTAAATGTTGTGATTCCTCAGCTGGGTCAACACTGCTGTTGAATTCTGCTGAATCATTGTGTGGTTGCTGTTAGAGTGTGGGTGTAGATGGTTTATGGTAATTTCATTGTATCCTTAGTGAGATTAGAGACTTCAGAACAAATGTGGGTCTTGATATTTGGCTTGAAGTTGAGTTTTGCATTTGGAGAATGGATTGTGAATATGATGATACTTTTAATGTTGTGTTGTAAATCAAGCTGATTCACTTAGTCGGTTTGTTTGTATTTTTTAAATGAGTATGTGATCTGAAGTGTGTTAGTGTACTTCACCAGTTTGGCCAGTTAAAGAAATTTCATAATGACCCATTGTGATCAAATCTATTGTTCATTACCTTTCCCAAGGGCTGTCTTTCTATAAGAAATGTACCAGTATTTACCGCAAAATGTCAGATGGAGTAGTGCTGAAAAATGATGCCTTGAAACAGATTCCAGTGTTGGATACCATTTTGTTCAGCTAGGAATGAGGGTGCCCTTCCTCTCAGTGTTACAGAACCAGTAGGTACTCAAACTAGATTTAGTAAATTACCTAAAAATTGCCCTCAATTTGTGTGTGTGTGTGTGGACCGCTCAGCAGTAATGGGGTGGGGAAATGAAGTTGGAAATAAGTACCTTGGTACAGGGTGGTGTACTTTAAGAAGGAGTCATGTCCCTTGGAGCAGAGCGGAATACTTAAAAAAAAGAGTCATGTCCTTGGAGCAGAGTGAAATACTTTAAGAAAGAGTTATGTCCCTTGGAGCAGAGTGGAATACTTTAAAAAAGAGTCATCTCCCTTAGAGCCGAGTGGTATACTTTGAGCCAGGATTATCTCTTTTGTAGCCTCAGGTGCGGTAAGAGGCAGTAAATAATCATAAAGCAGCTATGGGGACTGAAATATATAGAAGATTGGAATATAATTGAGCTATCCTGGGTGACTTCTGGTAGTTGAATATAGTGTGTGTGTGTGCACATCTGGGTGACTTGCGCCAAAACACACAATTTATACACACACATACATACACACATATATATGTATATATAAGAGAAAGAAAACGAAGGAAGTTAATTCTTGTGTTTGATGTTAAAAGTGGTGAATGATGTTGAGAGGGTGTTTTACTATGTGTTTAGTTTGATGATTATGATTTCTTTCAGTGGGAAAGGAAACTAAAGTAATTAAAGCTGAATTTGTTTGTGTGTAATTGTAGTTTTGTATATTGCTGTGTCTATACTCTGTGTATCACTGTAGTTCTGTATATCATTGTACTTCTGTGTTACTATGTCTAAACTCTGTATCACTGTAGTTCTCTGTTTCGTTGTGTCTGTATTCTTGTGTATCACTGTAGTTATGTGTACCGCTGGGTCTGAATTATGTGTATCATTGTACTTATGTGTATTGCAGTGTTTGTATTCTGTATATCATTGTACTTTTGTTTATCATATGCCAATGCTCTGTGTATCATTGTAGTACAATGTATCACTGTGTCTATACTCTGCATTGTTGTAGTTTTATGTATCAGTGTACCTAGACTCTATGTATCAGTGTGCCCATACTGTGTACCAGTGTAGTTCTGTGTGTTACCGTGCCTATACTGTGAATCACTGTTCCTATAGTCTGTATCACAGTGCCTGTACTCTGTGTATCACAGTGCCTGTACTCTGTGTATCACAGTGCCTGTACTCTGTGTATCACAGTACCTGTACTCTGTGTATCACAGTGCCTGTACTCTGTGTATCACTGTGCCTGTACTCTGGGTATTGCTTGTGTCTGTACTCTTTGTATTGCTTGTGTCTATACGCTGTGTGTCTGGAGTCTGTATCGCGTGTGTCTGGACTCTGTGTATCACTGTGCCTGTATCACTGTATCTGAATTCTATATATCTCTTGTGTCCTGAATCTGTATTACTGTTTATAGTCTTTGTATCACTGCGCCTGTACTCTGTGTATCGCCTAGTGTCTGGACTAGGGCTGTACCGAATATTCACTTTGAATTCGCTTCAGGTCCGAATAATAGTGGACCTATTGACTATTTGGTATTCGGTCGAATAGTTGGTCGGGCTGAATACAAAAAGTAGTTACCTTACACCAGCTTCTGCATACACGGCCTTAATGCTGACAACATGGAACGATTGGTTTTGTTAAAAGCTAATGCAGCTTTCCTGCAATAACTAAGCTGTCAGTGACAATTTCCAAGTTTAGTTACTTGTTATAATACTTAGGATTCTTTCATTCCTAGTTATTAGTTACCAGAGACTGACTGAAGGATGAAAAACATAAAATACTTTAAAATGTTTACTATTCTGTACGAATACTAACTAGACATGGACAAAATATAAACTCCGGCCACATCCAAGTCAAAAATATGAAAATCAAACGAACAGAAACATATAAATACTTGGGTGCAAACTTCAACTGCTCCAACATGCTGAGAGAGAATATACAATCTAGAAATAAAGTATACTGTGCACCTCAACATATGTTAAGGTCAAAGTGTATGTCTCACAAAACCAAGATAAAAAAATATAAAACGTTCATAAGACCAGTTGTGTTATATGGCTCTGAAACTTGAAGCAGAGATAAAAGAGATGAGGCCTTATTACAGGTTTTCAAAACAGTCTTAAGACAAATCTTTGGACCCATCAAAGATGCTAACAGCGGGGAATGGAGAGTGAGAAGCAACAACATAAATTATAATCTGTTTAAATCACCATTGATCACTGGTATCATGAGAGCTAACAGACTAAATTGGTTGGGGCATATTGAAAGAATGGCAGAGAAGTAAAAACTGTATACACCTGAGAGAGGAATGGGCGTAGACCACGAGGCAGACAAAAAAGAAGTTTGAGAGATAATGTCCAGCCAGACTTGCAAACCACTGGTTTCACAAATTGTGAAGATAAGGCCTGCCAGAAAGATGAATAGAGACTAGTGATATCTGCAGCAGTAAACCTCAAGGGCCCAGCATGCTAAAGAAGAAGATGACTATTCTGTGCTACTTTATGTAAAGTCAAAGTTCAGCGTACATTTGACATTATATATGTGATTTTTAAAAAGAGATATTTTATACACTAGACAGGATTAGTATTCGGCCGAATAGTTGGTCCCGTTATTCGTATTTGGCCGAATAGTGAAAATCACTATTCGGTACAGCCCTAGTCTGGACTCTGTGTTTCACTGTGCCTTAATTATGTGTATCATTGCAGTTCTATGTAATATTGTTATCCTATCACTTTTGTCTGGACTCTGTGTTTCACTGTGCCTTAAGTATGTGTATCATTGCAGTTCTATGTAATATTGTTATCCTATCACTTTTGTCTGGATCCTGTGTATCACTGTGTCCACACTATGTGGTGCATTCTTATATAACTGTTTGATGTATATCGTTGCCTGTGTGTGTAACAGTTATGTCCTATTCGTCTGTCTGTGAGTATACCCATGAAAAACTAAGGTACTTCCATCTTGATTCTAAATATAGCTACTATGTTGGTTTGTAGTGAATTAAAATTGAAGTACCAACGTCAAGTAAGTAAAAGCCCCCTCCCCACATCCCCTTTTTTTTAAACTAGTGTCCTGTCTGGCAAATGGTGTTGGGTTCCGGGGTCCAATTTTGGTTGAAAACAAGAACAACAACTAAGCCAATTATAATAAACTTCCCCGTGTGGGTTCTGGGGCCCTATTATAGGGAAAACAAGAATAGACCCATTGCTTACCCAAAAGCATGTTGTAAGAGTCGACTAATTGGGAGCTTCCTTCGAAGTCGGAGTGCATCTGCCTGAGAGGCAAGTAACCAGCAGTCTGCATGCCAATGAGTCAGATCTGTAAAATGCATGCACACGCAACACTCAGGTTCTGGAACAGGACTGCAGTCCAGAAGTGGACGAACAACCAGAACTTTCCGCCGGAGTTTACAGCTGGTGAAGGCGAAGAAGAAGACTAATAAACTACAGGCATTCATTATCTGGAGCCTGCGCAGAATAGAGGGAATCAAATAGTGTGATGGAATCACTAATGTAGAGCTTTGGGGGACAACTAAACATGTTTCAGTGGACCAAGAGGTAAAGAAAAGGTGCTGGCGTTGGAAAGGACACACGTTGAATAAACCTGAGAACAGCATAACTAGAATGTCTTTGCACTGGAACCTACAGGGGCACAGAAATAGCGGAAGGAAAACACGAAAACACATGGAGAAGTGAACTAGAGAGTGAAGTTAAAAAGATGGGGAGTGATAGTAAAGGATAGAACCACTTGGCGTGAGTTGGTTGAGGACCTTTGCTCCTTTGGGGGTTGGAAAGGCAGAAGATATGCCAGGTGCAAATTTGAACCAAGAAAAGTGAACATCTAGCTGCGCTAAGCCGGCTTCCTCTTTTACACAAACTGTCAAGCGCACTATTTACTGCCCAGTTTACTAGAGCACTATTTATTACCAGGTTAAAGTAAACATTGAGAGATCATGCATCTTTCTTATGGCAACTTATGGATGTGAGTCGTGGACTCTCACTCAGTCTTGGAGGTTGAATTTGGAGATTTTGAATTGAAATGCTACAGAAACATTCTCAGGATACCAAGAAGACGAAAAACACTGAATGCTGGATGATCTGAGCATCGAGGAGAATTGGCTAATAAACAGCATCCTGTCCGCAAATTTGAGGTATTTTGGCCATGTTTAACGGGAATGAAGAGTGCGGCGATGAAGGCACAGTTTCCGTAAAACGAGACAGAGGCTGACCTCCGCAGATATGTATAGAAGGCATTGAAGATGCATTGGTTTTAAAAGCACTTAGGGGTAGAAAAATACTTTCAGGAGTGCCATGATGAAAGCGTCCTGCGAAGGACCTGCTAATTGATGATGATGATTTAATGCCCGACATGTTTTTTTATATGTGAGCAGGCACATACTACAGAGGTACATCGACATACACAATGAACCACAAAGGTATCCCCTCAACTGAAATACACATATTACAGTGAATTGTTGCAATCACGGCGGACTCTATTTATTTATAAATAGCTCCAGATTTATTTAAGACAGTGTGTTTAAATTTAGCCTTTCAAATGTATGCAAAGAGGAGGAGCAACATTGTGAGGGTGGAGAAGACAGATTCCTTACAAATGAGAGATAGAGGAAGAACAAGGATGATATATAAGATCAGAAGTTCTTTTCTGTTGAGCGACCACATCACGCGAGATTTAGGGAAACCCCATAGTATGGGAAGAGGGGGATGGGGGGGGGGGGGGGGTGTTAGGGCTGGTGTGTTAAATGAATAGCGACTATTACTAACCCTAACTTTAACATCCCTATACTATGGGATTTCCCTAAATCTCACGTCATGTGGTCGCTTAACAAAAAAAAAAAAACACTGGACTATTACAATAATAATATTTTAAAATGAAAAAATGGGTGAGGACAAAAAAGGAGAAGACATAACAGAAAAAAAAAAAAAAAAGAGAAGCAGAGGGAGTGAGAAGTAGGAGGGAAAAAAAAGAAGAATAACGAGATAGATGTAAAAAAAAGGGGGAGGGGTGGGGGTGGCGAGGAGGATGGGTGAAGAGGTAGTAGTAGAAGCAGCCGTAATAGACGAAGAAGAAAAGTTGTTTACGTTTGAGAACCTTTCAAGGGATCACCGCTATCACCAGTCTTATTCAATGTTTATACGGTGATGATCACTGAGCAGCAGTTGAATGGAAAGGGAAGGACTTTGTCATTTGCTGATGACATTTTGATTTATCGGCGAGGGCGTGATAGACAGGAGATCGCCAGCACAATGCACAAAGAACTCGATCGAATTGCCGCCTGGTGTGATGGTTCCAATGCCTATGTCAATCCCTCGAAGGCATCAGTGTCATGGTTCTCTTTGAACAATCACATTGTCAAGTCGGACTTACCAGAAGTGAAAATGCGTGATAATGTATTGATCAGAACCAACGTTATGACGTTTCTCGGGGTGAGGTTCGATCGCAGCTTGTCATTCAGAGAACACGTTGACCATGCGATAACAAAAGCACGCAAAGGTCTATCTGCAATGAGGATTATGGCTGCTTCCAATATCGAGCAAAGACTGCTGGTGCTTCTATTCTATGGTCTGGTCCTTTCCCCCATTGAATACGCTCTGGCCATCCTCACTGTCAGTGCTACCCAGATTGAACGACTCGAGAAGGTGCAAAATGAAGCCATGCGTATTATTTTGGGATGTACAAGAGACACATCTTGTGGAGCAATGAGGTATCTACTTGACTTTCCAACAATGAACCAAAGGATCAGGATGTGGAGGGCTCGGGCATACCTCAAAATATGTGCTGATAAGAAACACCCACTGCATCAAGCGCTTTTTAGTGAAAAGGGCGACAGACTGAAGAGATGAAAATCGTGGCTAGGTCGGGCAGAAGATGTTATTAGGCAAATATGCAGCCTAACCGACATCATACCTGGTGCAGAATGGATACCTGTGCCTCAGGCGTTTATTTGTACATTTTCCTGTATTGTCACACTCAACAGGCGATGTAGAGAAGATAATCCTGTTGCTGTTAATGCAGAGGTCAACGCTCTCATCGGTGAAAATTCAGACGAAGCAGATGCACTAATCTATACAGACGGATCAGTTATACGCCAAAGAAGAAGCGCATGGGCATTTACAGCACGCTCAGCGGGCAGAACAGTCAAAGAAGCCAACGGCGCCTTCTCCATGACAACCAGCAGCATGACGATGGAGGTGATGGCAGTGACGCAAGCGTTTGCCTGGCTTGAAACACAAAAATACACCCGCATATGTATACTCAGTGATTCAATGAGTATGATCCGGAGGGTTCAGGCAGGTTCAGTGCGAAGGCAATGGCTTGAATCAATTCAGAAGTCCACTGTGCGAGGAGTCACCTTTATTTTTGTTCCGGGACACGCAGGCGTCGATGGAAATGAAAGAGCTGACAGGTTGGCTGGATCCGCTATCACTACCGACGGTCGGCCTATGGATCATGCTGATATTATCAATGCCCTCAGAGAAATGGGAAGGATAGAGGACTTTGGTGGCAGTGAATCCACATCACTCGCCAGAATGGCAGACTTGGGAATTAAGATCGGCACAGCAAAAAACGAGACGCACACCGGACACGTCAGAAGACTTGTTAATCAACATAGAACTGGTACTATTAGCCATCGGACGTTGGGATTCATACTGAGGGGAGGATCTGAGCACCTATGGACATGTCCGGAGTGCAATGATGATAACCTAACTAACTAACTAACTAACTAACTAACCTTTCAAGGTTGGTTTTCAGCCGAACAACTTGGTCACTGTGTGTTTACGATTAATTGATTGGTCCATGGTTTTATACAAACGTTTGGCCTTTCTTATATTTTTTATTTCAGTCAGCCAATGACGCTTAATTGTGATGTGAATATCTTATCTGATTGGTGTGCGATACAAAAGGGAGGCACCATTTAAATCAAATAAAAGCGTAATTTGATCTAATACTAGATCGTCTGCGCTTTTTTGGGGGGACACAAGTGAATTTAATTACTGATCTACAGAATGATGTTTAAATGGAATGGGCTTTTAGCTGCATTGTTGCTATGTGTTATTACTGTCGTGACTTCTGAGGATGCTTCTAAAGGTATGGCTTATGGCATATTTAATTTGTGCAGCCACAACAATGGCGGTTGGCTCTAGTGCAACGACTCACTGCTGTCTATGGAAATATTACGTGATTGGGTCTAATCTCTAAAAATGCGCGACTCTCGTATTATTAATTAAGTAGATAATAGACCGATCATCCATACAGCCTAGCACCGAACAAGTCCATAAGTCCGGTGTTAGATTACTAAAAAGGTAAAGGTAAAGTCGGGAGATGTGAACCAGCGTCATTGCACACGGTTATTAACTGTTAAGTGCTCTGCCACCAGAACGGACAGCTGATAAGAAACTGTCCGTATGTGTCTCCGTCCGCACGCAACTCCGTAGCTACAGTGAGTTTCCTCTGTTTACCCTAGGGTGTTAACTCTGGTTCTGGTACCCATTACATAGAGGCTATGTGAACCCCGGGAACCACTCGGTTTCAAACACCGACCGTGAGCGAGTCGCATGTGGATTTGAAAGCGAGCCACCTATCGACTGCCATAAGGCTTTAGCTACCTGCATTGCGGGAGCTTTAGGCATGCAACCATGAAGTGCATCACATCTGACCGCCAAAGGTGGAGAGAGCTGATCAGACAGTCAACAGAAACTGGTGACCCAAAGACACGGGGTGTTACGGGACAATGCCGTGTTGTAGCTGCTCGACGTAAGCCTGCAGTTCAGAGGGATTTATGTTCGGGTCCTGACGGAGCTGGACGTTTTTCAAAAATAACCTTGGGTGTCAGATCGACCCAGTCTTAAACGAGTACAAGGTGAGACAACAAAATGTAAAGTCGAGAGATGTGAACCAGCGTCATTGCACACGGTTATAAACCATAACTGCTCTGCCACCAGTTAGTTAGTTAGTTAGTCTTTCCTCTTGTGTCGAGTGCGGCACATAGGGCAGAGGTCGTGACTCTCCATGCACGGCGGTCCGTTGCAATCCGTTGTAGGTCTTGGATGTTTGAGTGGCCCATGAGCGAGCCTTCCCTGATGATAGTTCTACGTAGGGTTTCCCTTGGTCTTCCACGAGATCTTTTCCCCTGTGGTGTCCAAATGAGGGCTTGGTAAGGAAGTCTTGATTTATCCATTCTAAGGACGTGGCCGACATAGTTCCAGCGGCGTTTTCGTATAAAATTAGACACATACTCTTGCCTGGATTCTTGCCTTATTTGTGTATTGGTTCGGAAATCTGACCATTTGAAATTTAGTATTCTTCTAAGGCATTTATTTTCAAAACTGTCTAATTTTGTGTCTAGAGTTTTCGTTGTTCCAACTCTCGCATCCATAGGTTAGTACTGGAATCACAGAAGAATTGAAGATCTTGAGTTTTGTGTGTTTGCTAAGTGTCTTTGATTTCCAGATGTTAGACAGTTTATTGAAGGCACTAGATGCCAGTGCTATTCTAAATGATATTTCTGGTGCGGTATCTCCTGTAGATGACATCTTGCTCCCTAGATAAGTGAAACTGTTGACTTTTTCAAGGCTGTTGTTGTTCAGCGTGATATCAACTGAACTGTTGGTAAGGTCTAGAATTTTTGTTTTTGCGGTGTTAATTTGGAGTCCAATTTGTTCTGAGAAATTCTGGAGTCGATTGATTTTTTCTTGGGCGTCTGTGTGTTCTGAACTCAGGAGTGCCACCAGTACGGACAACAAAAGGTAAAGTCTGGAGATGTGAACCAACGTCATTGCACACGGTTATAAACCATAACTGCTCTGCCACCAGTACGGACAACAAAAGGTAAAGTCGGGAGATGTGAACCAACTTCACCCGGTTTCGAACATCGGGGGTGGGCTGCAACAATCGCAATTGCATTTGAAAGCGAGTCTCCTATCGACTGCGCTAATGCGACCCCCCTGATGTGTGCAGTTACATCGGCAGGACAATTGGCCTTATCGATTAAAAAAAAAAAGATTGTTGTCTTGGTGTTTAGATAGAGCATTAGATTGTTTGCAGGTATGAATGGCTCTGTGTGTGTGTGTGTGCTTGTGAGTATATACATGTACATAACACGATCTCTTATTTTATTTATGCTTCTAGGGTGTGGTTTTTCCTACTGCGCCACTAACGGACAATACAAACATCTGAGGAACGTGGAGAAGTATTTGCTTTTCCTAAATACTTCGCGAAAAGTGAAAGTGAACAAGAAAGGATGTGACGGTTTTACGAAAAATCTGCAGAAGTGCAACGGAGAAAAGAAGGACTGTCCCACAGCACTACAGTTGAAATGGAAACATAGGTTTCTAGATGACTTTTTCGTTGACTATTTCACGAAATTTGGCGAACATGCCTGCAAAAATATGAAATCTGCTACCCAGCTGAACAAGTGCATGAAGCCCGAGTTTCCTGCAGCTGCCGCGGCATGTATTCAGGAGAAAGTGAAATTTGATACCAAGTGCTTGCTTGATGCCTATACTGCTAACAAAAAATGTTCAAAAGCTGTTGATATATTTGTAGCTGATCTTATTGAGAACTACATCGCCAAATACCCGTACACCACTGCAGACTAAGCTATGATATAGCGTCAATTGCAGAGTATAAGTCGAGTTTTCAAACATAAAAACAATTTTTCCAAAATGCAGAGCCGACTTATATAGCGGGTAGAAACAAGCCAGCTTTGAATTTGAGCTAAAACTCGCGAGGTCTGCGTTGACACTAGATCGACTTTATGCCAGATTTGCAGTATACGAGAACTGTGTCAGACACTAACTAGTTTACAGTTTACACACGTTGGAAACTGTGACAAGTGTTTTTGTGTGCGTATTTTTTCTTCAAGTTTTATGCAAATAAGGTTGAGGGCTTCTGTGATCTTTGTAAATTAAAAAAAAAAAAGAGTTTTTCACCGCTATCATATCGTTTGTAAGAACAACATCTCAAGGGTGAGAGTCAAACAGGTAACAATTCTGGAAACATAAAACACATACTAGGACACTAATAGCCCGTTGTGGCTAGGTCTGTGTTTTTGTTATTATTATGTAGTATTTTTTAATTAACACCCATACGACTAGTTTATGTCTCCCCCCCCCCTCTATTTTCTTCTTCAGCTGTGTGAAGATGAGTACCAACACATCACATATCAAGTGGGCGCATAATTATGAAGGGAATGGGATTTGGAGAGGGGGGGGGGCGGGGGTGGAAGGAAAGAGACTCACTGCAACCAAGAAAACAAAACGTAAAGAGGCGGCTGACTAATTAGGGATCTGTTGGAATCGGATGCATTGGTCCGAAAGGCGCAGATTAGCGGTAAACCACAATGTAGCGTGTCACCTCACTGATTGAATTCATCTTCTTCTTCTTCGCGTTCACCGGCGTAAAGTTCTGGTCGTTCGTCCACCTCTGGAAGTTAGTCTTGGTACAGAACTTGAACTTTGCGTACACATCCATTTTACAGATCTGGCTTACTTGTGTGCAGACTGTTGGTTCCTCTCCTCTCGGGCAAATGTTCAGCGATTTCTGAGGAAAAGTCCCCAATTAGACCTTTCTATTAGTCCATATTATTGTTCGAAAAGTCACTCTGCTACTAGACACCACAAAATAACATGCAGTATGTTTGTGCCTCTATTCAAATGCAAATAAAATGTGTTCCTGTACATTGTGAAAACTATTTTTTTGTGCACACACACACACACGCACACAAATATTAAAGAACTAAGAAAGAAAACGTGTCTGCAAAAAAAAAAAAAAACAGACTTGAATTTGTTTTAGTTAATTTAAAATAGATACTGGTTGTGTGCACAGAGTAATAACAAACTCCTGCCCGGAATTAGCGTTAAAGATTTGATGCTTATATTATTCCATCCCCCCCCCCCCCCCCCTAATGAGTACAGTCTGTAGAATTAACATCTCCACCGTGAGAATCAAACAGCTACACATAATACGGATGTTCGTGCACTGCTTTGAATATCTTCGATTCGGGCTTGAGTTAGAAGTAGAACGGAGCACTTATGTGTTACAATTCTTGTGCCATGATGTTGTTCAAACCAAACCGAACCAAACATCCAGATAAACTCGTTCAACCACAAAGCCATATAGGTTAGTTGCGTATCCTTTACAGGACGTTGCAAAACCAACCCAAGCATCCCCTGGCTGTTGTGTGGTTTCTCTAGGCAAATTTACGTCCAGTAGTTTGCCATTGCTTTCTGGACGGTCAGCCCCCCGATACCACTGTCGAAACCAACGCAAGGCGCATGGTCCGCAGCTGGGATCGAACCCGGCACCCCGGTATTACGAAGCGTTGGCATCGACTTAGCCACAGAGCCGACCACAAAGCAATGTACAACAGTTATATTGGTGAACCACAAGAGGGAGGTAACCTTTGACCTGCGTAGCTGGGACATGCGCTGTTAAGGTGATTAGTCTATAGGCCAAACAGTGCGATGTTAAACATATGCACGTTCGCATCCTTTTCTTTCACGTACACAATAGAGAGGCAAACATATACTATAATCTTCCGCATGTATTTTATCTGGACCTCATCAGTCTTCTTTCCCTTCAAGTCTTCACATTATTACAACGTAAATTTACTGTCCCCTTCCAGTCTTGCTGTTGTGACAACGAAAATCAAATGTTCCCTTCCGGTCTTTCCATTGTCACAACGTAAATCAATTGTCCCCTTCCAGTTGTCACAACGTAAATCAATTTCCCTCTTCAAGTCTTCCCATTGTCACAACGTAAATCAATTACCCCCTTCCAGTCTTCCCATTGTCACAACGTTAAATCACCTGTACCCTTCCCATTGTCACAACGTTAAATCACCTGTACCCTTCCTATTGTCACAACGTTAAATCACCTGTACCCTTTCCGTTGTCACAACGTAAATCAACTGCCCCCTTCCAGTCCTCAATTTGTCACAACGTTAATCAATTTACCTCTTCCAGTCCTTCCGGGGTGATAACGTAAATCAACTGCCCCCTTTCCATCCTCCCCTTGTCACAACTTAAATTAACTGTCCCCTTGTTACGAAGTGCCCAAAGAATGTAGAGTATCTTAGGTCTGAGGCATGTTGTCAGTTCTGCTGCATGCATGAAAGGACACACTGCATTGCCAGCGCATTATCTAAGGTATGATTACACGCACACGAGCCCCAAATCGGTAATGACTTCTGGGTTCCTACGGTAGAGTAGAGACTGACGACAACAGAAACACAATAGCTAAGCCAGGCCCACAAGCAACCAACACAACTGTAATCTACCACAAACAAGATCTATGCTAGTACAATAGGTTTAGTTTATTATGGACGCACCGGTTAGTAAGATGAATTGGCGATCAATTAATAAACACAGTCTGTCTGCTAATTTCTACAAAGTTCACACGCTGTCCGTCTCCAAAGGCGACAACTAGACTTGACGAGAGTCCGGTCCCGAACAGTGATCAGAATAAATGGCTGTGCTCCTACGCACTCCCGTGTGTCTCTGGAATCACGAAAATCCCAGGCGTCACAGAAGAAAATGCTTGGTTACATTCTGTGGACAATGATTCCACGGGATCCCTGTACAACGTCAGAAGTGGCCAGCAAAGTCCACGGGCATGCTCTCCAAATGAATAAAAATAACCACATTCACGCGCTCCAAAAGACAATTCTGCCAAGTAGAACATATTTCATTTCTGAAAGCAACTGAATCAAACTGCAAATGGATTTTCGGTTCAAGTAACATTTTCCGCCCCAAGCACACCGTGATTGGTCGTTCATTCATGTTTCTAAGTTGTTTGTTTGTTTGTTTTAGTATCCAGAAGCCATGAGTTGTTAACCCTTAGGCTCGGTATTATAGATATTGCAACCTTTTGGCCTGGATTCCATTGTAAATACCGTAAATCGGGGAGAAAATGTGGCTTTTCTGCCTACCCCCGGGAGTGAACCCGGACCACAAGGAGTTCGTTACCCGCTCACCGCGCAATCCGGTTTAGCCAACTACGCTAGAGAGCCGGGCCTAGTCTAAGTTACAGGGGTGTGACGTTGCGTCGTGTTCGATCTTCTTAGCCGTGTATATTTTGCGTGCCATGTACTGGTTGGTGTGAGAGGCCGGCGACATTGTGAATATTACAGCTTTGCCGGACGTCAAGTAGGATGTGATTGTACTTCAGCTGTGAGCGTTGAGGAGCGACAAGGAGAGAATCGTTTTTCTGCACCAAGACGGCTTTTTTAGGGCCTGACGCAAAATTTTGGTAATTCTGAAACCACGGGACGTGGGCTGCACTCTCTTGTGGGACGTAGGCTGCACTCTCTTGTGGGACGTAGGCTGCACTCTCTTGTGGGACGTAGGCTGCACTCTCTTGTGGGACGTAGGCTGTGGCTGTAAGGGGGGGGGGGGGATTTGGGGTTAGGGCCAGTACAAGATATTGTGTGGTTGTTAAAAGCGGTCACATACTACAGAACACAGGATATCGTCAGTGATAACGTCAAAGGAAACGCAAGGTGACTCTCTTGCAACTTAGACTAGCGTGTGAAAGATGACGAATCAGGAATGAACGGCCAATCACGGTGTGCTTGGGAGCGAAACAAGTTCAAAGAACCGGATTTTCCACCAGCGGTCAACTTCACGTGCATCTCACACTTTTCACGCAAAACGGTGATGGCCACCGGTCTCTCAAGATTTACCAAGCAGAACCTTTCCCTATAAGCCTCATGCGACCAAAGTATTTAAACACACCTCGGTCAACTCATGAATATTAATGTGTACTCTTGCACACTCTGGCATGCATGCCATTATTACGAGTTAGCACACGAGTTCTCATTATGATTTATTTTCTATCAAAATATCTTCTCATACTTTTACGACTCTATAGTGTATCGTGATTTTTTTTTGTCTTAAAGAATACACACAAACACACGCCCACCCAAAACCCACAGACACACACTCACACACACACACACACACACAGTAGGTTGATCACTTCAATTTTAGGGGGGTGGGGGGGGGGGAATCACAAACACGTTTAACCTGCTGTCAAATGTTCATTACTGACTGACTGACTTTTTACCTCACCAGGACATCACACTGAGCGATAAACAGCCGGTGACACAAAGTGCCACCTTTCAGTAAGGGTCGCATGTGGGGTCCCAGAAACCCTGTTTAACCGTTAGGTAATATTAAGGAAACAAACATCATTGGGCTTTAAAATAACGAAAAATTCGTCCCACTTGGGGAAGGGAATTAGGTTAACTGGACATCGTTACTAGTAGAAGCAATCTGTCCCCATCAGGACATGACGCAGAGTGATGAACATCCGGCGACACAAAGTGCCACCATGCGGATGATGATCACCAGTGGAGAGGTCTTAGAAACCGCGTTAAACCATAAGGCTATATTACTATAGAGCTTCAAAATAACAAAAATTGCCTCCCACATGGGGACGACTTTGGTTTGTAAAATTATTACTTGGTAGGTAGATAGATAGTACCCGACCAGGACATCATCACACAAGCGATAAACACCCTATGACATAAAGTGCCACCATATGAATGAGAATCACACGTGGAGAGGTACCGGAAACGGCGTTCAGCCATTGGACCATATTTATGGCCGGGCTATATTTCGGGCCGTGGTAAGAATATGACTGAATCAATTATTATGAATTCGACTGACTGACTGACTTTCTACCCAACCAGGACATAACACAAGCGATAAACACCAGATGACACAATGTTCCACTATGTGGGTAAGGATCACCGTGGAGAGGTCCCGGAAACTGCGTACAGCCATTAGGCCCTATTTATGACCTGGCTATATTGCGGCCCCTGGCAAGAGCCAGGGTGGGGCTTTAAATAACGAAAAATGTCATCCTAAAAAGGACAGGAGGTAAAACATACTCACAGGTAACTCGACTGACTGACTGACTTTCTACCCCACAAGGACATCACACAAGCGATAAACACCCGATGACACAGAATGCCACCATGTAAATGAGGATCACCGTGGAGAGGTTCCAGAAACCGCGTTCAGCCATTAAGCCATTTTATTACCTGTCCATATTGCGGCCCCTGGCAAGAGCCAGGGTGTGGCTTTAAATAACGAACAATTTCATACTAAAAAGGACGGTGGATAATCTCCTTGAAAAAAATACATATCTATATGTGTATGATAAATACATTTGTCGGTCTCCTAAAGTGATAAATACTGTTGTTAGTATTACAGAGGTGGCTGAAATGGGAAATGAAGAAGCAAATATTTTGTCTACGAGAAACTCGAAGGTTGATGACATAATCTGAAGATGCTAACTGGATTCCATGCAAGCTATGAAGGCGACTGCACAGAACAGAACGGAATAGAATAATATACTGCGAGCTCTATGAACAGACTTAGAGACATGAACATCAGCCTTAATAGTGCTTTTGACAGAGCTCATCAACGAACATTACACACACACACCCCCCCCCCCCTTTCCGACACTTCGATGAGGTACAAGGTGGAAGAAGAGAAGAAGAAGAAGAAGAAGAAGAACCCTATGTGACATATAATGACAGAACAGGACAATGAACGAATCAATAACTGTTTTACTGAAATAGTAATTCATACTTTTATTGCACGCACATATCAACAATCTTACACCAGCTGTGAAGAAACACGATTCAAACAAACATACACATGAAGCACAAACATGACCACCATAACAGTTTCAGGAGGGAGTGGAAGAGTCAGCTAGCCAGGTCGGGTACTTTTGGGCAATGTCGTTGAGGATGATCTTGAGGTTGGTGTTGTGGTCAATGAAGTAGTTCTCCAGGTAGCGCCGCGATTCGGCGTCCATATCCGCGTATTGCCTCCCCTTGACCGACCCCAGACAGCCCGTGTCAACACGGCAGTAAAACCCTTTCGCTGAGTCGAATCTGCGAATGGAGGTTGGGGCAGTGATAGCAAATTAGCAGTTCATCATTTGGGTTGAAGTGAAACAAGTTACAGCTTTGGGCCTCACAGTCTGCAGGGGCCTAACAAAATTCACATTTTGCCACAGATGCAATTAAAATAAAAACATATTTTGAATCCAATTTTCGTTAAATGTATTTTAAATCCAATTTTCTTTAATACATCTCAAATCTAGTTACATTTCGCCTTATTTTAAATTGTTAGACAAAAAAAAAAAAAAAAAAAAAAAAAAAAAAAAAAAAAAAATTGTCTGATTTTATATTTTATATGGCGCACATAACCTAGTCACAATTATAACCTACAGCTCCCCCTTCAGGGATGCTGGTTAAAGGTGACGATTTCAGCAAAGCACCAACCTCCTTATCTCAGGCTTTTTTTCGTTCTAACGTGTAGCCATTTCAAATGCAATAAAATAAACAGCTTGATAAACAGCTTGATAAACAGCTTGTAAGTTAAAAAGGTATGGCCTCAAGACATGAAATAGCAGCCTTGCAAAATAGGTTTAACATACATGTTGGATACACGAGTTTTTTATATTTAAAATGAGAACTGAGTTTGAGATATAAGTCAAGTATGAGTTTATCATACTTTAAATGAGAACCGAAGTTTCAGATACGAATCAGATGGATGAACTTTCCATACTCGAAATGAGTATTCAGGTTTCAGATTTGAGTTTATTGTATTCCAAATGAAAATTAGTGTTTCAGGTGCAAGTCATAAATGAGTTTCTGATACTTTAAATGATAGGGTTTTGATTGTTGTTGGTTTCAACAATGGATCAACATCATGGCACAGGGACAATAACACATAAATGCTCCGTTCTACTTCTAACTCAAGCCTGAGTCAGAAGAATCTCAGCGCAATCCATGAACTCTGTAGCAGCGGTGAGTATTCTGAACTATTTTTAATAGATTTTTAACTCCGAATTTGGCCGGGCAGCGCCGTTAGACTACTCTTTTACATTTTCAACTGCCGAGGTTTTTCTTACGTGCGCAATAATACACACGGGCGTCTGGTCTCGCTACCCAGAGACTAGAGAAAATTACTAGAAGTCAAAGTGGAATAATGCCAGCCTTTACAGGGGCCTAAACCGGGGACTTCCAGCACTCCAGGCGGACGCCATGCCTCGAGAACACTCAGGTCTCCATCTGATGTTTCACCACATATGTTAGATGTACAAAGTAATGGAGTAACTAGTTTAGTTGAGAGCCACTGCAGTACAGTGTAATGGAGGAACTAATTTAGTTGAGAGCCACTGCAGTACAAAGTAATGGAGGAACTAATTTAGTTGAGAGCCACTGCAGTACAGTATAATGGAGTAACTAATTTACCACGACCTACCTAAGCTTGGTACTGAAGTCTTCAAAAGGCTGCACGTTCAAGAACTTCTGGATTTGGTTCAAAACTGTAATTGGGGTTTTGGACAACTGATCACCGTCGACCAGATAAATCTGTGTAGAAGTGGTGGGAAAATGGCAGTTTGTTTCAGTGAATGTATACAGTGTATAGTTAGGTAGATTATATAGCTAGATTTACAGGCAGATTACTAGCCACACAGAAAGGCAGACATAGTTACAAACAGATACATATTTAGACAGACAAACGTTTAGATAGATAAGAAGATACATTGATAGGCATTTATATATATATATATATATATATATATATATATATATATATATATATATATATATATATATGAAATATATAGCCACTAGGCATAAAGAGAACTGAAGATGATGATGATGATATGAAATATAGATAGACAGATAGATAGATAGATAGATAGATAGATAGATAGATAGATAGATAGATAGATAGATAGATAGATAGATAGATAGATAGATAGATAGATAGATAGATAGATAGATAGATAGATAGATAGATAGATAGATAGATAGATAGATAGATAGATAGATAGATAGATAGATAGATAGATAGATAGATAGATAGATAGATAGATAGATAGATAGATAGATAGATAGATAGATAGATAGATAGATAGATAGATAGATAGATAGATAGATAGATAGATAGATAGATAGATAGATAGATAGATAGATAGATAGATTGCTGAATGAGTGCAAAGACAGGGATATAAAGACATAAAGACAAACAGATGACTAGAAATGTAAATTTGAGAAATCTACCTGGCTTCTAGGAAACACCTGTAACCACCTGGCCAGGTGGATGGCGTAGGCTCCAGATTTGAGGCATTTGTTTCTGGTGTCCCGGAGAAATTTGGGCGCGGTGTCCGGTGCCGTGACGATCTCAAAGAACGTGTAGTTCCGGGTCACGGGGTCATTGTGGTAACGCATGTTCTGTGGACGTTACAAAAAGCCCCCTTGATGTTTTTGTATTATAGGTATGTTACATATTCTTTGCATTGACGAATTATTTTGTTGTCTTCACACACCCACACTCACACATGTCACATGCACACTTACGTTAGTCACATTAATTAAACACAACTCCCCATCCATTTTGATATATGATTAAGGTTAAATGTTGAATTAGGAAACGACATCACAGAACTCTGTACACTCCCCTAAGCGCCCTGTTCCCATCTTCAGCAGCAAGCGAAGAGTTCCAATTCCGATGGTACCAATAACTGTCTTCCAGTTAAACTGTACAAACCTCATAAACAGATACATCTTTCTCTCATACTTCGCTCACATCCAACACATTCAACCATAACCCGCCACATATTTCACACACACACTACTGATGCCTCACACACCGCTCTCACAAATCCAGGCACCCACATCTCCCCACTCACCTGGTACCAAGAATACGCACGTCGGATGGGATCTGCCAAAATGATGATAATTTTCACCTTTGGGACGAGCGCGTGGATTCTCTTTGGAGTGATTTCGTTGTCGAAGTAGTTAGCGCTCTTCTCAAACAGCATCACATCCTTGCTTTCTGGTTCAGGAAACTGGTTTTGGTACCTGATCAGAAGGAATGGGACATTAAATATATTTGCTCCTGTTGTTCGTGGCAACATCATCACCATCATAATCCTCCTTGCCTTCTCTTTCTCATCATCATCGATGCCATCGTCATCATCATCTTATTCTGGTTCTTCTGCTTCTTCTTCTTCTCCTCATCCTTCTTTGTTCTCTCTATTTTATTCTTCTAAATTTTATGTATTCTATCTCATCTTCTAATTTATCTTAAATTTGACTTGTTCCTTTATTAGTTTAGTGAGCGATTTTGTATCATCTACATCTCAGAGTTTCTTCTTCTTCTTCCCACGACATGACATTCTTCTCATAAACACATTACCAATGAATTCTTTTTCTTTGTTAATTCATTGTCCGTCAATAAGAAGTAAAAATTAAAGGGCCGTTGTCCCTGCCCCGTGGTGCACTGTGGATCAAATGTTGACGGATAATTGGTAGACTTTTTCTCAACTCGGACGGGTCTTGCTAGTCACACTAGCCAACACCATAGGCTATGAGCCCCATGCCTCCTTATTGTTTAGGTTTAAGTTTAGGTTTAGACGACCGATCAACATCATTGCACAAGGGTAGTAACCTATAAATGCTTCATTCTACTTCTGACTCAAGCCTGAGTCTGAAGAATCTCAGCTCAGTGCACGAAGTCCTTAACACCGGCGACGATCCTGAAATACCTTGGGCACATTGTTAGCTCCAAATGGGGGGGGGGGGGGCAGCATTATATGGAGAAGAAGAAAAATGGTTAAAAAATAATTATGTCAGCTCTACAAATTCAATTCAAATGAACACATAAATGATGTTGCGGCGATTAGCCTTCATCTGTAAACAAACACAACACAGCACACAAAAAAATATTTACACTAACTATGAAATGACTACATTAGAATATTATGTACACGACTATGACGAAAGACTAATAAAATGATTGAATACACATACAATGATAAAATACTAATAAATTGATAAAATATTGATAAAAGGATAAAATACTAATAAAATGATAAAATATTTATAAAATGACAAAATACTCATAAAATGATAAAATACCAATACAAGGATAAAATACTAATAAAATGATAAACTACTAATAAATTATAAAATACTAATAAAATGATAATACTTGTCTACAAGACATTGCAGAACTAACCCCACCATTTTGTTTACGGTAAGTAGTTTGCCATTTCTACTGCCTGCTACGGTCTCAATATCACTGTCGACAATATCGCGAGGCGGTCTGCTGCCAGATAACCACTGCTGATATCTAACTGGATGTCCCGAAACTTCGCACCACGTTTGTAACTCAGCATGTTTGTATTTCTCAGCAGTTTTGTCTTCCCCAACCGTCTTCTTATTGTGTTTGTTATGTATAGCATTCACTCCCATATTTTCTCATATTACGGGTTTCATGTTGTACCTGGCTGTTTCTAAACTCCATTTTCTTGTCCGTTGAGTTCTCTGGTATCAGTTTGTGTTATATTTTACACTCCGCTGATAAAGAAACTTGCGGAAACTGTCGGCCAGGTTTCTGTGCGTCTTTTCTGTCTCCCTCTTCGAGCGTGTGAGTCTAAAGGTCGTTGGTATGTTTCACGGATGCGTCGTTCCGTTTACGAATGTTGTTTTTACGGAGATCATTATCGATTGTCGTTAGAGCTAGGATGTCTGTGCTTTGTGCAACGCTCCCAGCAAGCGGTTAGCTTGTGGAGAGTCATATGTGAGTGGCAAGTACGTTGATGACGATCCTTTCGTATATAACTTTGACACTTAACGTTTTTATTTTATGGTTTCACGGTGCCAAAAATAACAAAATGCAGGGAGTTTGGAGAGACTGCAAGGAAAGTTACTAAAAAAAAAAAAAAAACTTAAAAATAAATTAAAATTAAAATTAAATGAAAACCCAGAGGCAATTAAAATATTTACTCACAGTAAAAGACATAAGATTCTTCAAAAAACTTTTAAAAGCTATACTGGAGAGAGAAAGCGAACACAGGAGAGCAGGTAAGGAACAACGGTACAAGTGGGAGAACAACATCAAGAGATGGACAAACAGTCTGAGAGCGTGTACTAAAGAAAGGGGAAAACAGAAGAGGCAAAATGAGTTAGAGATCCATTGCAGGAAACGTTCACTGGAAATGATATTTGGTTGATTAACTGACCAGCACTTCTTTCTATCTGATAGGCTGACATTGACTGATTCGATTAGATACTTTACTGATGCCAATCCAGCAGGATCAGATGCGAGAAACCCAGTTTAGGAGTACAGACCGTTGTCTTGGGTACCCGTACGGTCACGAACTCTGTTGTGTGTGATTCTGTGATAACAAATACGCCAAATACACCACAGCACAAGCCCCGTCAGCAACTCACCATTCTAATCCATTAAGGTAGTTAGAGCCACTGAAGAACTGAACCTCCTCGAAGTGTACCGCGTTCTCCACCGTGCTGACCAAGTTGGGATGCGCCTCTAGGAATTTTTGAAGAGCTGTAGTTCCTGTAAAATGCAGTCGGACATTGTTATTTCTTCTATGGGCACTTTTATCGGTAATATAAATGACAGATGCTCTTTGGGCCGATACTAGCCTTGTCAGACATCCAGTGCAGACATTTGTCTGTGGAATATCTTGAGCAGAAAATAGTCTGTTGGATATCCTGGGAGGACACTAGTCTGTAGGATATCTAGGCAGACACTAGTTTGTGGGGTATCCTAGGCAGATCCTAGACGGTGAGATATCTGGTCTGACACAGGTCTGTCAAACATCCTCAGCAGATAGTTGTCTTTTGGACATCGTGAGAAAACACTTGTTAGTTGTACATCCTGAACAGACACTAGTCTGTAAGACATTCAGTGTAGACACTGTTTTTTTGCGACACCTTAATCATCCACTAGCCTGAGAGACATCATTGACAGACATTTGAGGCCCTTTCGGCAGAAAGTAGTCAATGAAAAATCATTGTTAGCCTGACTGACATAAGAAGAACCAAGCGTGGTCTCTACTGTTTTGAATCCTATTGAGAACTGCAAATATAGCACGTTACAAGACTGAAGAAGCACACACACACACACACACAAACTGTCCGAGGTGGTGGAGCCCGAACAGAATCCCGGTCTTGTACTCATCACAGACAGTACATGAAGACATTCCAGATTTCTGTGGTCCTAGCAAGTGAGTGTTTAGTTCTCAGTTAGGAACCGATATCATAGCATTGCCAGAAATGCCCAGATCCCATTTTCAGCAGCCAGGTTCCGATAGAACCGGCAACAGTTTGATTGTATAGCCGTGTCGCCCTTTTCCTTGAGTGTTTAGCGTTGTTCAGATCCCTAGGTCGCTCCTCGCAGCGCCATTCTTTTTAGACTATGACGATATATTTGAATATCCGCACTGTTTACTCGCTACCAAAGGGCCCTTAAAATATCTAAAAAGTGGTGCAGTCAAGCTAATTCCAAGAAATTATTATAGTATGTTATGATATAGTTATTTTGTGTGTGTAGAGTTCCGTTCACGTCGAGAAAGACCCCGGCCAAAAAGTAGATTTGTGTTGTGTTGTTTTTTAGCACGTTGTTCTGCTTCCCAATTTGGTTAAGCCCTTTTGTCAGAGGTCAGTGGGTTCATTTCTTACAATATCTAGCTTGACGTGGGGGAATTTACCACCAAGTGCTGCATATCCAGCCAATCTGTATATCTGCTCATTCCCGGAGACATCGGCATCCTCTAAATAAAATATAAAAAGAATTTAACTACACGGCATCACTGAAGGGATGCTTGCCACTCTGCACAATGCATACATGTCCCTGGCTAGCGAAGTAAACCTAAAACATAACAATATTATTACCAAGTGATTAGGTAGTTGTACCCCACCGGGACATCTCACGATAAACACCCGGTGACACAAAGTGCCACAATGCGGATGACGATCACTTGTGGAGAGGTCCCAGAAACCGCTTTCAACCGTTAGGCCATATCTATGGCTAGGCCATATTTATGCCCCGGCTATAAGCAGGGCTGCTGGCAAAAGCCAGGGTGGGGCTTTCCTTAACAAAAAAATTGCATCCCACATGAGGTCGACTTGTTCTATATTATTACCAAGCTCGAATCCACAAACAGCATACGAGAGATATTCCAAGCTACGGCCCTCATAAACGACAAAACAATCACATCAGCAACAATTTTAGTTTCCCATGACATCGATTATGGCTTTCTTACCTGTTTTCTGTGGGCCGACGATAATAAACTTTGGGAACCGGTCACAGTTGAATGCGGGCGGAAGGATTTCCAAATGTTTGTCATACTCACAGGGGTTCTGTCAATACATCTTGCAGCTCAGGACTATTTTACTGACATTTTCGACTAAATTGGTAATGTTTTAATGCCAAACTGTCTCACATTCTGTCTGTCTGTCTGTCTGTCTGTCTGTCTGTCTGTTTGTCTGTCTGTCTGTCTGTCTGTCTGTCTGTCTGTCTGTCTGTCTGTCTGTCTGTCTGTCCGTCCGTCCGTCCGTCCGTCCGTCCGTCCGTCCGTCCGTCCGTCCGTCCGTCCGTCCGTCCGTCCGTCCGTCCGTCCGTCCGTCTGTCTGTCTGTCTGTCTGTCTGTCTGTCTGTCTGTCTGTCTGTCTGTCTGTCTGTCTGTCTGTCTGTCTGTCTGTCTGTCTGTCTGTCTGTCTGTCTGTCTGTCTGTCTGTCTGTCTCTCCCCCCTCCTCATTGGTCTTCTATCCATCTCTTCTTCTTCAAATTGGATGTTATCACGACTAAAGCCCACGACCTTCCTCTCTTTCCCTGAAGGGGATGACTCGGGAACTTGACTGTTTTTATGCAAGTAGCCATTTGTCGACCAAAACAGTAAAGGAATCTACAACAGGCAGTAGAACAAGATGGACAACGTCAGAGAACATTCTAAAATTCTCCAAAAATACGGCATGTCTATGGTCAAGGCGGTTAGAAGAGCATGAATTAGAACAGTATATCTCGCCTGACATCTGAAGCGGTAAACCAGCAACAATTTTGTGATAAACAGCACGTCTCGTCTCGATTACTAGATACTTGACACCGATTCGCTAGAATTTCGGCTGAGTCAGTCTTGACTAGTTATCTTGATCGGTGCATCGTTTGGGTTTTAGCAGCCCGTTTACGCACCACTGTCAAGGCAATTGCCTTAAATAATGTCTGAAAAGCACTCTTGGAGTCCTTCTCAGGATTCTTAACAAGGCTTGCCGACTCTTGAGAGATCAAGCGATCGCTAGTTACCTTATCCAGAGAGCGGGGCGAGGTTGTGACAAACCCGATATAAACAACAAGTTACTTGCTTCACTATGGGACGAGGCCGCAAGCAACCTGGACAGCAGAGGCAGAACCAGCACCGTAACATCATCGACCAAAGAAGACGCACCTGTCGCTGTGCCAGCCTCAGTTGAGCAGACGATGCCAGCACTGGAAGACGTTCCTGTCGAGACGACAGCCTCACCGATCCCGACGCTGCCAGGCCAAGATGTAGCCCCGATCGGGGCCCCAACACAAGACCAGACGTTGCTACTTATAGAAGCCGACCCAGTCGTGACGCAGAGACCCACCAGCACCCGTATACCTAAGCAGCAACCGGAAGCCTTCACCATAGAAGTCTTGCAGTGCTCACGCTGCAAAAGGGCGTGGCACACGACCGCGACCTGCCGCAGCAGCCAAGCATCCCATTACTGCTCCAAGCCACATGACTTTAAGGAGTGCCCCCTGGCCAAAGTGGACCCTGACTTCAAGAAACACAACTCTAGCAGAAGATGCTCAAACTGTTCAGGGGCCCACAGCGCGACGTACCTGGGATGGATGATCATACCTTAAGGAGTGCAGGAGAGCAGGGACAGCTGCCGCCTACAAAGACATCTCTCACCTAGGAGCGAAAAAGAGCTACCAGGCTGCCACACCTCAGAAAATCACAGAAGTCACAACCAAGATCTCAACCGTAAAAATTGAAATCAAGGTCCTCCAAGAGGAAAAAGCAGCCACCAAAATCCAGCGAGATAGAGACAGGGACGAAATCACTGAGCTAAGAAGCCTACTGCAAGTGTCCTTCAAAAACATAGAAACGTTTCGATGAGGAAATCGCTAACATGGGAAAATTCAAATATGATCTCCTAGCAGCCCTGACTGAACTCAAGAAGCAAAAGAAAGAAAGTGCCGAAACCAGTAGTAGGAAGGAGATCAGACTCGCGCAACAGATCGAAGCCCAGTTTGTCCTCTCGTCCGAAGTCTCAACTATAAAAAAGTCACTTGCAGCGATAGAAAAGAAGCTTAATACAGTCAGCCCCCCCCCCCCCCCCCCAAAAAAAAAAAAAACCGCTTAGTTGCAAAAGGATCTGACAGCCGCAAAAAAAGTGATAGAGGAGAGAGAGAATACGAGGAAAGAAGCGACCAGAAGACATCAACTGCAAACATAAAACAAAACCCAGGAAAGTGAGCCCAGACAACCGGAAAAACAAGTCGGAGAAGGAGAGCGAAGAAGTGATTGCCTATAAAGAGATCAGCGAGGCCAGCGTCCAAGCTATGCTCCAAAGATTTAACAAAAAGATGCAACCTCGTGGACTCTGGATGGTCGGGGGCCAATACAAAGTAAAGTTCAACAGGGAAGAATGCGCAAGTGAGCGACACCTATCAGTCGAAATACTTGGACCCAGACGCCAACGTTATTTGATAATGCGTGATGAGATCAATGCAGCCCCTACACAGCTGTGTAAGTCAAGAGAAGAACGAGAGTCTCAAGGCACGCCTAAACAGATGAGGTAGCCACCAGCTCTGACCCACCCTGCCCACTCGAGAGCCACCTCATACAAACCACCTCTTCCCCTCCCCGACCAAAAGAACTCAGGAGGCGAACCAGCCCGACCGTGGCATGACGAAGCGAGCAGCCATTCAGAACCAGACAAGACACTATAGTTAGTTGCGTATCCTTTACAGGACGTTGCAGAACCAACCCCAGAAGCCCCTGGCTGTTGTATGGTTTCTCTAGGCAAATTTACGTCTAGTAGTTTGCCAGTGCTTTCTGCAGTGTCGGCCCCCTGATACCACCGTCGAAACCAACGTAAGGCGCATGGACCACAGCTGGGATTGAACCCGGCACCCCGGCATTACGAAGCGTTCTCATCGACTTAGCCACAGAGCTGACAAGACACTATGACAGCAGCCAAAACCAGCTCACCGGACCGGAAACACTCAATCGCGTACAGCCAGGGATGATTTCACGACCTCCAGATTTACTCCCACCCATACACAAGAACAAGAAGAAAGATGAGTAGTAACTGTCTACGTTAGATTTATCTACTAGTCCTAACAACTGCAGATTTGAGGGAGGGGCGGGGAAAAAGGGGGAGGGGGATTGCAACAATTTGCAACAACAACAACAACAACTGTATCTTCTGCAACTCTGGCTCTTTAAAAAATGTCTGAACAACTACAACCATGTCGTCTGCAATTCTTTGGCCCTTTAATTTATGTCTGAACAACTACAACCGTATCGTCTGCAACTCTTTGGCTCTTTAAATAATGTCTGAACAACTCAAGTATCTGATGACAGTGTCGATAGCCTTTAAGATTTTCATCATTTCACAGAACCGGCTAGAGACAATCAGCAAATAATTGCATTATGGCTAGATGTTATTTACTGCTTCGGAGACAGTATTTATTGATTATCGTATTGACTTGTTAGGAAAATAGTGACAGCAGAGTATTGTAAACACACCTGGTGCAGGTTTTAGTCGGCACGTTGTGTGGGAAGGGTAATTACGTGTCATCGAAAATATCCCATCTGTTGCAACGTGGAGAACGTAATGTCTATTTCAAACTGTTGGCCTAACCTTAAGTTTCCTGTGGGCATCGATTTCTTTATACGTTCATTTTGGGTATTTCTTTAAGAACACTCGAGCTAGGGAGTTTGTGCATTGTTTAAGTGCCTAATCAATTATACAAACAACGTTGTAATGATCAGGTAACGATATATATATATATATATATATATATATATATATATATATATATATATATATATATATATATATATACATATATATATATATATATATATATATATATATATATATATATATATATATATATGAAATACTGTGAAATTTTGAAACATATACTGAAAAGGAGAATACCGTCTACATGTGTGAGTGTGTGTGTGTGTGTGGGGGGGGGGGGTGGTTCGTGGAGGGGTAAGTCTAAAATAAAGTTTGGAGGACAGGCTCTCAAAGTGGCTAAGTCATTCCCCCCCCCCCCCCCCCCCCCCTCATCCAACTTGTGTGTTTGTGTGTGTATGGTTAGGGATTGGCAGAGGGGATGGTGGATGGTCAGTCTAAAGTAAAGTTGGGAGGACAGGCTCTCAAGGTGGCTGAGTCGTTCCCTCCCTCCCTCCCTCACCCCCCCCCCCTGCCCAATTCCCCCTTTTCCCAATTCTTGCATCCCTGCGATTTAAAACACGACAGATAGATCACTGACACTCCAGATGGGCGTGGCGTCGTGAGGGTACATCTCAAAGTAGAGGCGGGCTATCTCCAGCGGAGGCGGTGCCAGGATCTGCAGTCTTGTCCACGTGACCACGAATTTGATGACGTTGTCGAACATGTACTCAGCCAGCTGATCGTTGGCGAAGTTAGACATGTGAGTCATAAAGATGAGCACCTGTTTAAGGAAGAAGGGTGGATTGTACACCATCATTATCATTATCCTAAACATCATTTCCACCAACCATTATCATTATCATAAACACCATCTCTTCCAACCATCATCACCACCATTGTCGTAAACATCATCTTTTCCAACCATCATCAACACCATTATCATAGACATAATTTTCTCCAACCATCATTATCACCATTGTCATAAACATCATCTCCTCCAACCATCGTCAACACCATTATCATAGATATAATTTTCTCCAACCATCATTAACACCATTGTCATAAACGTCATCTCCTCAAACCACCATCGTCACCATTATCATAAACATCACCTCCACCGATCATTATCATTGAACATTGTCATTAACTTCATCGCTACCAACCAATATCATCATTATTATAAATATTAACTCTTTGCAGTGTTTTAGCTTACTTCAAAACATTTAAATTACCAATTCAAGCTCATATAAGTGCTCAGCATCGAAGCCGTATCTTAGAATATGTTGGCGCTTCCGTAGTCTACTTAAGAATTTGTGGGGGAAAAGATAACGATTAGATAGATAGGTGTTTAATAAGCTGACAACTGGGCCAATCAACATCCATATTACTGGAAATCTTCGAAGAAAGATGAGGCAGATATGGGCATAACTTGAAAGCTGGGACATTATAGGCGTGATAAACTCTCAAGTGTAAGCATTAGTATGTAACGATTTCTCTAGGAAGGCTGTCACGTGACATTTTCCTCCTCGTCGCTTCGCTGTCGAGAGAATACCCGCACAGCCATTGTAATACTGCTAACTTGTAGCTTTCACAGGGTACAGTTTTTTTTTTAAGTGAGTGAAGTTAGCATGTCGCGAGCGTTCTTTTTGCTTTGTTCAAGACGTAAACTCAGTGGTGTACTTGTGCCGTGGAAAAGTGTAGGGGACCATTTAAGCGGCTACAGGCACGCCTCGACAGTGGCTGGCTCACAGATTAATACACAAGCACATGCACATACAGACAGGCGGGCACTTACTGGGGTTGACAGGAAGAGCCTGAACAAATAGCCACCGTAGATGCTGCTGTTGAGACCCGAAGGACCTCCGTGGTATTCCTCAAATTTGTTGATTGACGTGTACAGGTTACACACCTGGCGGGGTAAAACCTGCAAGTAGACAAGTGACCAGGTGACAGTACTGGATGGTGCACAGGCGAGCAGGGGAAAGTACTGCAAGTTATGTAATTAAACAGATTACAGTACTAGAGAAGGGGAAAGTACTGCAAGTTATGTAATTAACCAGGTGACAGTTCTTATGTTTCACAGAGGAAAAGGTGACAGTAATGGATGTTGCACAGTCGAGCAGGGGGAAGAACTGCAATTTGTGCAGTTAAACAGGTGACGGTAATAGGCGCATATGAGCAGGGGAAATAATACACAATAATTCACCCATATAACACATAAATACTTATACACCGACGCATACATAAACACACACACATGCATACATACTTTCATTTTACATACATACCTACATACATACATACATACATACATACATACATACATACATACATACATACATACATACATACATACATACATACATACATACATACATACATACATACATACATACATACATACATACATACATACATACATACATACATACATACATACATGCACATACATACATACATACATACATACATACATACATACATACATACATACATACATACATACATACATACATACATACATACATACATACATACATACATACATACATACATACATACATACATACATACATACATACATACATACATACATACATACATACATACATACATACATACATACATACATACATACATACATACATACATACATACATACATACATACATACCATACATACATACATACATACATACATACATACATACATACATACATACATACATACATACATACATACATACATACATACATACATACATACATACATACATACATACATACATACATACATACATACATACATACATACATACATACATACATACATACATACATACATACATACATACATACATACATACATACATACATACATACATACATACATACATACATACATACATACATACATACATACATACATACATACATACATATACATACATACATACATACATACATACATACATACATACATACATACATACATACATACATACATACATACATACATACATACATACATACATACATACATACATACATACATACATACATACATACATACATACATACATACATACATACATACATACATACATACATACATACATACATACATACATACATACATACACATACATACATACATACATACATACATACATACATACATACATACATACATACATACATACATACATACATACATACATACATACATACATACATACATACATACATACATACATACATACATACATACATACATACATACATACATACATACATACATACATACATACATACATACATACATACATACATACATACATACATACATACATACATACATACATACATACATACATACATACATACATACATACATACATACATACATACATACATACATACATACATACATACATACATACATACATACATACATACATACATACATACATACATACATACATACATACATACATACATACATACATACATACATACATACATACATACATACATACATACATACATACATACATACATACATACATACATACATACATACATACATACATACATACATACATACATACATACATACATACATACATACATACATACATACATACATACATACATACATACATACATACATACATACATACATACATACATACATACATACAACATACATACATACATACATACATACATACATACATACATACATACATACATACATACATACATACATACATACATACATACATACATACATACATACATACATACATACATACATACATACATACATACATACATACATACATACATATACATACATACATACATACATACATACATACATACATACATACATACATACATACATACATACATACATACATACATACATACATACATACATACATACATACATACATACATACATACATACATACATACATACATACATACATACATACATACATACATACATACATACATACATACATACATACATACATACATACATACATACATACATACATACATACATACATACATACATACATACATACATACATACATACATACATACATACATACATACATACATACATACATACATACATACATACATACATACATACATACATACATACATACATACATACATACATACATACATACATACATACATACATACATACATACATACACATACATACATACATACATACATACATACATACATACATACATACATACATATACATACATACATACATACATACATACATACATACATACATACATACATACATACATACATACATACATACATACATACATACATACATACATACATACATACATACATACATACATACATACATACATACATACATACATACATACATACATACATACATACATACATACATACATACATACATACATACATACATACATACATACATACATACATACATACATACATACATACATACATACATACATACATACATACATACATACATACATACATACATACATACATACATACATACATACATACATACATACATACATACATACATACATACATACATACATACATACATACATACATACATACATACATACATACATACATACATACATACATACATACATACATACATACATACATACATACATACATACATACATACATACATACATACATACATACATACATACATACATACATACATACATACATACATACATACATACATACATACATACATACATACATACATACATACATACATACATACATACATACATACATACATACATACATACATACATACATACACACATAC